TGAATGTTTGGAAAAGAATGTTCCAAAGAAGCTTTTAGGTGCAAAATTGTGATTTATTATTAGTTTTTTCCCAAATATTTTGTTAAGTATTTCTTACAGTAAAGAGAAAAAACGTATTCATGTTTATTTTTAAAGAAACCCATTGTTAAAATACATTAAAACATAAGTGAATATAACTCTAAATTAATTAAATGTTTGAGGTGGCTCAAATTCAATTTGGCTCACTATTATAGTGGTATTATTCTTGCTTTGGGAGCAAGAGGTCCTGGGTTCAATTCCCAGGTGAGCTTACACTTATCAACATAAAAATAGGGAATGTAACACTAAACTAGTTATTTACCAATAACAAATTGTGGTAAACATTTTCCATCACAAGCAATTCTGATTTAATACTTGTTATTTTTTGCAATATCTATATATTATTAGTAACATAAATTGCAGAAAAAATTACTAAGTACTGGATAGTGATATAGGTTCTCTAACTGAGTATGTATAAAGCACTCTTTTGTTAGGTTCATCAAAGAATACAATTTAATGAGTTTTCATATTATTAAGTATACTATTATATTTAGTATTGTTCATCTAGAGAATCCTATTAAATATTTCAAATCATTACTTCGGAATAAATGTGCTGACAGCAAAAAAAAAATAAGCCAATGTATTAATGTTTTTGTTAAACAATGATTAAGTAAATTTAACTAAAAGCATCCATTACTAAGATGAAATCAACAACAGGGTTTATGTATCAACCAGTGTTTTATAGATAATAACGAATTTAGTACCCTTGTCATTATATAAACAATATTTATAAAAACCTATTATGAAGCAACTTAATTTGAAATTTTATTAAATTTACCATATTTTCATCAATTACATCTTCATTATGTTAATTTTCATTAACTTTAGTTAAATAAAAGATTTTTATTAAAATTATTAAGTACCTTTCATAGCATTATTGTTATATATGAGTCTTTTTAGAAGTATGCATTGTTAGGTTTAAACAAAATATAAAAAAATCAGTTGATAAGATGAAATCAACAACAGGGTTTTATGTATTAACCAGTGTTTTTATAGATAAAAACGGAGTTTAGTACCCTTGTCATTATACAAACAGTATTTATAAAAAACTATTATCAAGCAACTTAATTCGAAATTTTATTAAATTAACCATATTTTCATCAATTACATCTTCATTATGTTAATTTTTCATTAACTTTAGTTAAATTAAAGATTTTTATTAAAATTATTAATTAAGTAACTTTCATAGTATTCTTGTTACAGATGAGTCATTTTAGAAATATGCATTGTTTGGTATATAACCAAATATAAAAAAATCACTTGATAACATTTCAAGTTAAATTATAGTTCAGTGCATGTAATAAGTCGGTTCATTCGTCTAGCAGTATGATTGTATTCTTTGCAGGAATAGGTCTTAGGTTTAACTCATTGGTGAGCACTCACATTAATTATAGATTTGTAATCTGGTGGTTTACAATGACTTTATTAATTAGAATATTACATTTGTTAAGTCGTTTTTACAAAAATACCAATTCTAATTATTATTTTGCTTTTCTTTCATTGATTTTAATCTCAAAAAATGAACATGAAGCAATGTGATTTAATTTAATGTCAAAATTTTCCCAGCCCGATAGGGGATTCGAACCCCTGGCCCTCAGATTAAAAGTCTGATGCTCTACCAACTGAGCTAATCAGGCTTCATGAAAAATCTACAATTACTTGTTCACTTATTTTTGGTTGATAAAATTTATCGAAACATTGATTTGCATCCAGTAAAATTTGAAAAGATGTGCTAAATACCTCTTCACTTATTAAAAGTTCTCAGCAGTAAAGTTAAATACTTTACAAGCCTTTAAACGTTATTTATATTTTTCATAAAAGTACAAAACAGAAGAAACCATATTTTGTAAAATTAAAGTATTATAGATATATCTGACTCCTTAAAATTTATTTTTGACAAAGAAATTCTTAATACATCATATGTTTGCAGCAAGACCTATATTCAAACTCTGCTATTCATTATTCAAAACTTAAGACAAATACATAATACATATTTTTGAAAGCAATGTTTGAAAAAATAATATTTTTGTAAAACACTTCGTAAGTGGTAACACTTCCATTACAACAAAAATATTACAAATTTTGTTTTTTTGCTCATATTTTATATAACTGTCACACAAACTTTTATTATATTTGTAAAATACTGAGTAATATTGATCACAATTTAAGAATAAAATTTGTGATCTTGTTTTCCCAGTATTTGTTGCACTAAGTCTTAATCATTGTTTTCCAGTGATTACGTAAGAAATTTATTATGTTTACAATATTTTCATTTATTACAAATTGCATGTTAAGACAGCCAATTTGAATGTTTGGAAAAGAATGTTCCAAAGAAGCTTTTAGGTGCAAAATTGTGATTTATTATTAGTTTTTTTTCCCAAATATTTTGTTAAGTATTTCTTACGAAGTAAAGAGAAAAAAACGTATTCATGTTTATTTTTAAAGAAACCCATTGTTAAAATACATTAAAACATAAGTGAATATAACTCTAACTTAATTAAATGTTTGAGGTGGCTCAACTTCAATTCGGCTCACTATTATAGTGGTATTATTCTTGCTTTGGGAGCAAGAGGTCCTGGGTTCAATTCCCAGGTGAGCCCTACACTTATCAACATAAAAATAGGGAATGTAACACTAAACTAGTTATTTACCAATAACAAATTGTGGTAAACATTTTCCATCACAAGCAATTCTGATTTAATACTTGTTATTTTTTTCAATATCTATATATTATTAGTAACATAAATTGCAGAAAAAATTACTAAGTACTGGATAGTGATATAGGTTCTCTAACTGAGTATGTACAAAGCAATATTTTGTTAGGTTCATCAAAGAATACAATTTAATGAGTTTTCATATTATTAAGTATACTATTATATTTAGTATTGTTCATCTAGAGAATCCTATTAAATATTTCAAATCATTACTTCGGAATAAATGTGCTGACAGCAAAAAAAAAATAAGCCAATGTATTAATGTTTTTGTTAAACAATAATTAAGTAAATTTAACTAAAAGCATCCATTACTAAGATGAAATCAACAACAGGGTTTTATGTATCAACCAGTGTTTTTATAGATAATAACGAATTTAGTACCCTTGTCATTATATAAACAATATTTATAAAACCTATTATGAAGCAACTTAATTTGAAATTTTATTAAATTTACCATATTTTCATCAATTACATCTTCATTATGTTAATTTTCATTAACTTTAGTTAAATAAAAGATTTTTATTAAAATGATTAATTAAGTACCTTTCATAGCATTATTGTTATATATGAGTCTTTTTAGAAGTATGCATTGTTAGGTTTAAACAAAATATAAAAAAAACAGTTGATAAGATGAAATCAACAACAGGGTTTTATGTATTAACCATGTTTTTATAGATAAAAACGGAGTTTAGTACCCTTGTCATTATACAAACAGTATTTATAAAAAAAATTTTATCAAGCAACTTAATTCGAAATTTTATTAAATTAACCATATTTTCATCAATTACAGCTTCATTATGTTAATTTTTCATTAACTTTAGTTAAATAAAAGATTTTTATTAAAATTATTAATTAAGTAACTTTCATAGTATTCTTGTTACAGATGAGTCATTTTAGAAATATGCATTGTTTGGTATATAACCAAATATAAAAAAATCAGTTGATAACGTTTTAAGTTAAATTATAGTTCAGTGCATGTAATAAGTCGGTTCATTTGTCTAGCAGTGTGATTGTATTCTTTGCAGGAATAGGTCTTAGGTTTAACTCATTAGTGAGCACTCACATTAATTATAGATTTGTAATCTGGTGGTTTACAATGACTTTATTAATTAGAATATTACATTTGTTAAGTCGTTTTTACAAAAATACCAATTCTAATTATTATTTTGCTTTTCTTTCATTGATTTTAATCTCAAAAAATGAACATGAAGCAATGTGATTTAATTTAATGTGTAAATCTTCCCAGCCCGATAGGGGATTCGAACCCCTGGCCCTCAGATTAAAAGTCTGATGCTCTACCAACTGAGCTAATCGGGCTTCATGAAAAATCTACAATTACTTGTTCACTTATTTTTGGTTGATAAAATTTATCGAAACATTGACTTGCATCCAGTAAAATTTGAAAAGATGTGCTAAATACCTCTTCACTTATTAAAAGTTCTCAGCAGTAAAGTTAAATACTTTACAAGCCTTTAAACGTTATTTATATTTTTCATAAAAGTACAAAACAGAAGAAACCATATTTTGTAAAATTAAAGTATTATAGATATATCTGACTCCTTAAAAATTTATTTTTTGACAAAGAAATTCTTAATACATCATATGTTTGCAGCAAGACCTATATTCAAACTCTGCTATTCATTATTCAAAACTTAAGACAAATACATAATACATATTTTTGAAAGCAATGTTTGAAAAAATAATATTTTTGTAAAACACTTCGTAAGTGGTAACACTTCCATTACAACAAAAATATTACAAATTTTGTTTTTGCTCATATTTTATATAACTGTCACACAAACTTTTATTATATTTGTAAAATACTGAGTAATATTGATCACAATTTAAGAATAAAATTTGTGATCTTGTTTTCCCAGTATTTGTTGCACTAAGTCTTAATCATTGTTTTCCAGTGATTACGTAAGAAATTTATTCTGTTTACAATATTTTCATTTATTACAAATTGCATGTTAAGACAGCCAATTTGAATGTTTGGAAAAGAATGTTCCAAAGAAGCTTTTAGGTGCAAAATTGTGATTTATTATTAGTTTTTTTTCCCAAATATTTTGTTAAGTATTTCTTACGAAGTAAAGAGAAAAAAACGTATTCATGTTTATTTTTAAAGAAACCCATTGTTAAAATACATTAAAACATAAGTGAATATAACTCTAAATTAATTAAATGTTTGAGGTGGCTCAAATTCAATTTGGCTCACTATTATAGTGGTATTATTCTTGCTTTGGGAGCAAGAGGTCCTGGGTTCAATTCCCAGGTGAGCGCTACACTTATCAACATAAAAATAGGGAATGTAACACTAAACTAGTTATTTACCAATAACAAATTGTGGTAAACATTTTCCATCACAAGCAATTCTGATTTAATACTTGTTATTTTTTGCAATATCTATATATTATTAGTAACATAAATTGCAGAAAAAATTACTAAGTACTGGATAGTGATATAGGTTCTCTAACTGAGTATGTATAAAGCACTCTTTTGTTAGGTTCATCAAAGAATACAATTTAATGAGTTTTCATATTATTAAGTATACTATTATATTTAGTATTGTTCATCTAGAGAATATTTCAAATCATTAATTCGGAATAAATGTGCTGACAGCAAAAAAAAAATAAGCCAATGTATTAATGTTTTTGTTAAACAATGATTAAGTAAATTTAACTAAAAGCATCCATTACTAAGATGAAATCAACAACAGGGTTTTATGTATCAACCAGTGTTTTTATAGATAATAACGGAATTTAGTACCCTTGTCATTATATAAACAATATTTATAAAAACCTATTATGAAGCAACTTAATTTGAAATTTTATTAAATTTACCATATTTTCATCAATTACATCTTCATTATGTTAATTTTCATTAACTTTAGTTAAATAAAAGATTTTTATTAAAATTATTAAGTACCTTTCATAGCATTATTGTTATATATGAGTCTTTTTAGAAATATGCATTGTTAGGTTTAAACAAATTATAAAAAAATCAGTTGATAAGATGAAATCAACAACAGGGTTTTATGTATTAACCAGTGTTTTTATAGATAAAAACGGAGTTTAGTACCCTTGTCATTATACAAACAGTATTTATAAAAAACTATTATCAAGCAACTTAATTCGAAATTTTATTAAATTAACCATATTTTCATCAATTACATCTTCATTATGTTAATTTTTCATTAACTTTAGTTAAATTAAAGATTTTTATTAAAATTATTAATTAAGTAACTTTCATAGTATTCTTGTTACAGATGAGTCATTTTAGAAATATGCATTGTTTGGTATATAACCAAATATAAAAAAATCAGTTGATAACATTTCAAGTTAAATTATAGTTCAGTGCATGTAATAAGTCGGTTCATTGTCTAGCAGTATGATTGTATTCTTTGCAGGAATAGGTCTTAGGTTTAACTCATTGGTGAGCACTCACATTAATTATAGATTTGTAATCTGGTGGTTTACAATGACTTTATTAATTAGAATATTACATTTGTTAAGTCGTTTTTACAAAAATACCAATTCTAATTATTATTTTGCTTTTCTTTCATTGATTTTAATCTCAAAAAATGAACATGAAGCAATGTGATTTAATTTAATGTCAAAATTTTCCCAGCCCGATAGGGGATTCGAACCCCTGGCCCTCAGATTAAAAGTCTGATGCTCTACCAACTGAGCTAATCGGGCTTCATGAAAAATCTACAATTACTTGTTCACTTATTTTTGGTTGATAAAATTTATCGAAACATTGACTTGCATCCAGTAAAATTTGAAAAGATGTGCTAAATACCTCTTCACTTATTAAAAGTTCTCAGCAGTAAAGTTAAATACTTTACAAGCCTTTAAACGTTATTTATATTTTTCATAAAAGTACAAAACAGAAGAAACCATATTTTGTAAAATTAAAGTATTATAGATATATCTGACTCCTTAAAATTTATTTTTGACAAAGAAATTCTTAATACATCATATGTTTGCAGCAAGACCTATATTCAAACTCTGCTATTCATTATTCAAAACTTAAGACAAATACATAATACATATTTTGAAAGCAATGTTTGAAAAATAATATTTTGTAAAACACTTCGTAAGTGGTAACACTTCCATTACAACAAAAATATTACAAATTTTGTTTTTGCTCATATTTTATATAACTGTCACACAAACTTTTATTATATTTGTAAAATACTGAGTAATATTGATCACAATTTAAGAATAAAATTTGTGATCTTGTTTTCCCAGTATTTGTTGCACTAAGTCTTAATCATTGTTTTCCAGTGATTACGTAAGAAATTTATTCTGTTTACAATATTTTCATTTATTACAAATTGCATGTTAAGACAGCCAATTTGAATGTTTGGAAAAGAATGTTCCAAAGAAGCTTTTAGGTGCAAAATTGTGATTTATTATTAGTTTTTTTTCCCAAATATTTTGTTAAGTATTTCTTACGAAGTAAAGAGAAAAAAACGTATTCATGTTTATTTTTAAAGAAACCCATTGTTAAAATACATTAAAACATAAGTGAATATAACTCTAACTTAATTAAATGTTTGAGGTGGCTCAACTTCAATTGGCTCACTATTATAGTGGTATTATTCTTGCTTTGGGAGCAAGAGGTCCTGGGTTCAATTCCCAGGTGAGCCCTACACTTATCAACATAAAAATAGGGAATGTAACACTAAACTAGTTATTTACCAATAACAAATTGTGGTAAACATTTTCCATCACAAGCAATTCTGATTTAATACTTGTTATTTTTTTCAATATCTATATATTATTAGTAACATAAATTGCAGAAAAAATTACTAAGTACTGGATAGTGATATAGGTTCTCTAACTGAGTATGTATAAAGCAATCTTTTGTTAGGTTCATCAAAGAATACAATTTAATGAGTTTTCATATTATTAAGTATACTATTATATTTAGTATTGTTCATCTAGAGAATCCTATTAAATATTTCAAATCATTACTTCGGAATAAATGTGCTGACAGCAAAAAAAAAATAAGCCAATGTATTAATGTTTTTGTTAAACAATAATTAAGTAAATTTAACTAAAAGCATCCATTACTAAGATGAAATCAACAACAGGGTTTTATGTATCAACCAGTGTTTTTATAGATAATAACGGAATTTAGTACCCTTGTCATTATATAAACAATATTTATAAAAACCTATTATGAAGCAACTTAATTCGAAATTTTATTAAATTTACCATATTTTCATCAATTACATCTTCATTATGTTAATTTTCATTAACTTTAGTTAAATAAAAGATTTTTATTAAAATGATTAATTAAGTACCTTTCATAGCATTATTGTTATATATGAGTCTTTTTAGAAGTATGCATTGTTAGGTTTAAACAAAATATAAAAAAATCAGTTGATAAGATGAAATCAACAACAGGGTTTTATGTATTAACCATGTTTTTATAGATAAAAACGGAGTTTAGTACCCTTGTCATTATACAAACAGTATTTATAAAAAAAATTTTATCAAGCAACTTAATTCGAAATTTTATTAAATTAACCATATTTTCATCAATTACATCTTCATTATGTTAATTTTTCATTAACTTTAGTTAAATAAAAGATTTTTATTAAAATTATTAATTAAGTAACTTTCATAGTATTCTTGTTACAGATGAGTCATTTTAGAAATATGCATTGTTTGGTATATAACCAAATATAAAAAAATCAGTTGATAACGTTTTAAGTTAAATTATAGTTCAGTGCATGTAATAAGTCGGTTCATTTGTCTAGCAGTGTGATTGTATTCTTTGCAGGAATAGGTCTTAGGTTTAACTCATTAGTGAGCACTCACATTAATTATAGATTTGTAATCTGGTGGTTTACAATGACTTTATTAATTAGAATATTACATTTGTTAAGTCGTTTTTACAAAATACCAATTCTAATTATTATTTTGCTTTTCTTTCATTGATTTTAATCTCAAAAAATGAACATGAAGCAATGTGATTTAATTTAATGTGTAAATCTTCCCAGCCCGATAGGGGATTCGAACCCCTGGCCCTCAGATTAAAAGTCTGATGCTCTACCAACTGAGCTAATCGGGCTTCATGAAAAATCTACAATTACTTGTTCACTTATTTTTGGTTGATAAAATTTATCGAAACATTGACTTGCATCCAGTAAAATTTGAAAAGATGTGCTAAATACCTCTTCACTTATTAAAAGTTCTCAGCAGTAAAGTTAAATACTTTACAAGCCTTTAAACGTTATTTATATTTTTCATAAAAGTACAAAACAGAAGAAACCATATTTTGTAAAATTAAAGTATTATAGATATATCTGACTCCTTAAAAATTTATTTTTTGACAAAGAAATTCTTAATACATCATATGTTTGCAGCAAGACCTATATTCAAACTCTGCTATTCATTATTCAAAACTTAAGACAAATACATAATACATATTTTTGAAAGCAATGTTTGAAAAACTAATAATTTTGTAAAACACTTGTTAAGTGGTAACACTTCATTACAACAAAAATATTACAAATTTTGTTTTTTTGCTCATATTTTATATGACTGTCACACAAACTTTTATTATATTTGTAAAATACTGAGTAATATTGATCACAATTTAAGAATAAAATTTGTGATCTTGTTTTCCCAGTATTTGTTGCACTAAGTCTTAATCATTGTTTTCCTGTGATTACGTAAGAAATTTATTCTGTTTACAATATTTTCATTTATTACAAATTGCATGTTAAGACAGCCAATTTGAATGTTTGGAAAAGAATGTTCCAAAGAAGCTTTTAGGTGCAAAATTGTGATTTATTATTAGTTTTTTTTCCCAAATATTTTGTTAAGTATTTCTTACGAAGTAAAGAGAAAAAAACGTATTCATGTTTATTTTTAAAGAAACCCATTGTTAAAATACATTAAATCATAAGTGAATATAACTCTAACTTAATTAAATGTTTGAGGTGGCTCAACTTCAATTCGGCTCACTAGTCTAGTGGTATGATTCTTGCTTTGGGAGCAAGAGGTCCTGGGTTCAATTCCCAGGTGGGCCCTACACTTATCAGCATAAAAATAGGGAATGTAACACTAAACTAGTTATTTACCAATAACAACTTGTGATAAAAATTTTCTATCACAAGCAATTCTGATTTAATACTTGTTATTTTTTTCAATATGTATATATTATTAGTAACATAAATTGCAGAAAAAATTACTAAGTACTAGATAGTGATATAGGTTCTTTAACTGAGTATGTATAAAGCAATCTTTTGTTAGGTTCATC